TTACGCGATCAGAACGAAACTCGAATTCGGAGCAGAACGAAGTGCGTGCGACGAAGAGAGGGACAGCTTGTAATTAAACAGCGAACGAGCAAATTATCTTTGGATCGTTGGCTCGTTGATGTTTCTCTGGTGTAAGGTGAAATGGCATGAGGAAGAGGCATAAATTGTCTTTAAATCGTTGATTTGACAAAAGAAGTTTTGAGTAAAATTCGAAGCCTGAATGTCTGTGAAGAGAATTTACTCGAAGAGTTTATCGAAACGAGAGACGGAAATTTAAAATACTAATGGTGAGGAATGGAGATAGAATGTATAAAAAATTACATTTGACGACTGTTGTATGCGGTATACATACTAATATACAGACAAATACTAATTCTAAACTCTCTTTTATCCGCAATTGTGCATATAGTAAAGATCGTTGGAATCGTATATATTTAGGAATGTTTGATCGTGTCTTCTTCAGAATAGAAATCATAAGATACCACTGCAAAATTCTCAGGCAACAAAATTATCTAAAGTATTGTAAATCACCTACCATCCAACCGTAATTTAATATTAATTAATTAAAGAAATCTGAGGGGTGAAAAAGAACAAAAATAAGAAATAAAGGAACGAAGGCGCGAGAGAGAGAGAGGAGAAAATAGGAAAAACTGGAGGAAGAATTGAAGATGGCACGATGTCGTTAGGACGTCTCAGCGGCGAGAAAAATGTCCCGGATGCTCGATACTCGAGAATAAAATGTTTTCCCTCCCCTTGAAGGAAATAAGTGAAGTTATGTTAGGCGATAGCAGCGCGCTAAAACCATCATGAGCTGAAAGAGCAGACTTGGCTCTTGCTCTGGCTACACGCGTGTTTCCGGCAATTATCCTCGGAGTTTGCAAGGTTGCCGGGGTAACCGTCGTCCGCTTTGCGCCATTTAACCGAGCTTAAAGAATTGCTAATTCGCGGTATCATGCCGTTTCGCGATTACTAGTAATGATAGTTTACCAATAGCTCGGAATATTAACATTCCTCTCGCGTTTGCAAAGGCTCTCCAAGGATTAGAAAGTCTCCTCGGTTCGTTGGAATATTCATATCTTTCTCGCGTGTTCACTTCACTTCGGGAGCATAGTTTCGTCGTAATTATATTGATCTACGTAGGGTCAAGTAAAAATTGATATCACGGAGGTGTTAGAACTTTTGTTTATGAATGAAGAAATTTTCCTTATCCTTCATCAATATTTTTAATCATGTCCACAAAAATATAAAATTGCACGGTACTAATAAAATGTAATTCGTAAAGAATAACAGTCCAATCCCCCCAAAAAAACAATAATCAAACGAAAATTTTAAAAATACTTTAAATCGTAGCATCTACTTCAAAATTACTTCTGTGATCGAATATAGATCAATTCCATGGACGCGACATTACTCCAAAACAATCAGATAAAAATTCAAAAAAAAAAAAAAAAAAAGTACAAATTACGTAGGGCTGTGNAAAAAAAAAAAAAAAAAGAAGAGAGAAAGAAAAAGTTCTTTTTATACGAACTCACGATCACGTACAGAATGATTGTCTATTTTACTTTTATTCTACGGAGAAAACGAGAGAGCTTGCTTTTCAAACAGACAACTGAAGCCGGACAACTTAATTCGGTGTGCTTCACATTACATATGAACGCGATCCCTCCTCGTTAATGATGGAGGGCACGTACGCGCGACAAAATGTATAATCGAACGTAGGTGCGGCTTGTCGACGATTGCGTCGGAAATGCAAGACTGGCAGAACCCATCATCGACGAAAAGAAGACGAGACCAATACGGATTCTTACAAATACGATTCTTCGAACGAAGATTTTTGTATGTAATTCCGTACAATTGCATTTTTCTCGTTATTCGAAAAATTTATAAACATCAATACAAGTAGATCTCAAATTTTTCTTTCCACGTACGAGACAATCGTCTGATATTAGAGATCGATCGATCGAGCTCGATGTTTGAGAGAGTTCAAGTACAGGAACGGGGGAGAGAATTCCTTGGCAGGATTTAAAGGACGTGGTGATATAAACCGTAAAACGATACGTGGGCAAATAATACACGTGTCTCGCTCGCGTATACTGTATAACACAGCAGTGGACGAGCTAAAGAAGTGGACGCCAGTCTGTCTCGGATCAGGAATGGGATTAGAAAGCACCGTCAAGTCTCCTTGGGTCACGTCACCCAGATCGAGATTTAATCCATGCCTGCCGCGTATTACGTCGATCTACAGCACTCTTCAAAGGGCAATGCCATTTCCACGACCTTCTTGGAAAAAGCAATTCACGAAACTATCGATGATTTCGATCAGCCAAGTGATCAGCTGAAACACTCTAAACGGTCTGCGATCTCTTTTTAAAGTAAAAACGTCGCACACGTTTCGCGTATCTTAACCCTCTATGGGCCGTATGTAACTTTCAGGTCACATGCTAATGTGTCGACATTTTACCGAATAATTTTAGTTCTTTCACAAAATGACGTATACGTTTCAATTATATAAGCTGAGATATAACCAATAACAATATTGATGACGGACAACAGAGGACGCTGCAGAAAACCGGGGTGTAAAGGAGGTGGAAAAATAAAATGTTCCAAATGCAACGTACAACTATGTTTAACACCAAATGTGATTATGGAATTTCACGCTTAAGCGTTTATGCGCAGAAGTGCGAATATTGTAAACCGTTGTTACTTCAAAGTTCACAAAGTGAATTAATTATAATAGAATTGTTTAAAACTGGCAAATTTCCTTTCAATCGGCGTATACAGGTTTGTAATTGTTGATTCTCCGTTGCATAAAGTTTTTTTATATTTAAAAAAAGAAACGAATGACGAAATACTCGATATTTTGTAAATTTGAATTTGTACAATCAGTGACATTTCAAGTGCACGATAGGTATCATTAATTGAATTGATTTTAAGAAAAATTGTACTTTAATTATTAACGTAATAATGATTGCTATCGCAGGATGACGTAATCGAAACAAAGGAAATTTTCTATGATAACTTGTCAATCGAGGGAGGGCAAATTAGATTATTTAGATTATTTAGATTCTGACCGTGTAAGTATCTTTCTATTTGTGGATCTCCCGCTTTTTAATTCGCACCGTCCTTTTATTAACAACATTTTATAGCTGCAAGGATCGAAAATCGAATTAAATCGAGTCAATTTGTTTTCGTTAACTTTCAATTCTGTAATTACAGAAGCTTTCGATTAACCTCCTGCGCTGGAATGACGTGCCACGCACGTCGAGAATATTTTTTTGTCCCAAAATTGCAATATCTCCTCAGTTTTTTTAAGTATATTCAAGTATAATCCAGACAAAACATAAATAATAATAAATTTATTACTATATATTACTATATATAGTATTATACTACAATAATAAATAAATTTATTACTATATATTACTATATAATATATTTATACCATAATAATAATAAATTTATTACTATATATTACTATATATAGTATTATACTGCAATAATAAATAAATTTATTACTATATATTACTATATAATATATTTATATTATAATAATAATAAATTTATTACTATATATTAATATATAATATATTTATACTATATATTACTATATAATATATTTATTATATAATAAATTTATTACTATATATTACTATATAATCATAATTTCTATCCGGTGATATCATACCGACAAGTTCAAGAAGAAAGCGACGAATTATTGTATACGGTTTGGTCACTCGTTATGGTCCGCAATCAGTTGCCAGCGCAAGTGTGGTTAAGGAACGACCGGGTTAACGGAGTAATAAATTCGATGGAATTTTTAGAACGAACTATAAAGGAGAAACAAGGTGTCCCGGGCGATCGTGTACCTACACGAATAGTCGATGTGAATTCCGTAAAAAAATCGCGTCGGGTCGGCCGGCTACATAGATATACAGGGTGTTTCGTAACTTGTGGGACCCACCACTTCGGCTCATTATACGTCTAAAAATAATGAAAAAATTAACATAAATACATGTCCTGTCTGTCTTTGTTTATGAGATATAATGAATTTTATAAACAGAGCAAACTGTCCGGCCTCTCTTTCCATAGACCGCAAGAATTCGCACTGTTTACAAGTAATTCTTACTTGATATCTTTCGCGTGACTATCTGAAGATTCAGCAAATTTCGCAGTACCCTCTAAATCAGTTCAGTTCTTACTAATAATCGTAATACATGTCGTTTAAGATCGTGTTTGAAGTGATAACGGAGCGTTATTCTATTAATTTAGAAATGACAGATATGCATCTGATGTATGGGCTCGTTATGTGTAATGCAAGTAGAGCAAGACGTTTATGCTCGGAACATTTTCCCAATCGGCGTATTCCAAACGAGAAAACGTTTCAAAGAATACACGACCCAGTCTACGAGAGACTGCTGTTGCTTTTTCTTAGCCGAGTGGCTAGGCAATTTTTAAATCAACGCTCTGCAAATAAATGGATTGGTCGTGGAGGTCCTATCGCATGGTCTGCTCGTTCTCCGGATTTGAATCCATGAGATTTTCATTTGTGGGGACATTTAAAATCTATCGTATACGCAACGTCGATTGAACATGCTGAAATACTACGAAATAGAATAGAGCAAGGCTTCCGACAAATTCGAGAAACACAAGGAACGATAGAGAGAGTAACCAGATGAATGACAAGACGCGTGCAGGCTTGCTTGTCTTCAAACGCAAGATGATCATTTCGAGCATCTTTTGCAAAAGCAATTAAAACAGAAAATTCATTATATCTCACAAACGAAGACAGATAGGACATATATTTGTATGACTAGTTTTCATTATTTTTAGGCTGCCACAAGTTACGAAACACCCTGTATACGTGAGCGGCTTGAGGCTAGGCTGCGCCGCGAGAGGGTTAAAGGTCGGATTCAAACGAACAGGGGGGAGGAGGAGGGGGGGGACCCCGATACGTGCGCACAGACACGCACGAATGCGTGAGGACACACCCACTTTAATACGTACCGGAATGCATTCGCATTTGATGCAGTACATGACTCCAAAGGGCGGGCCTAAATCCGCGAACCAGGTGGAGCCCAGTTCCCGTATCTGCTTGCCGAACGTGCATTCTGCAACAAAAAGGCATTTGAATTAGCTTGATGAATTTGTTGCTGTTATCTGTTTTCTGTTTAGCACGATGCAATGGAGGCCATATATATATATGTATATATGGATTCGTACGTACACGACTTTAAACCGAATGAAAAACGGTCAGGCAGAAATATTTGAAAGCGAACAGAAAGTGCACAGATCGTGATCAGAGGAGAGGAAGAGAGCGTTTGCACGAGAAGAGAAAGGTTTTCTAGAGTGAATATTGCACGCTCCACGCTATTTAGGGGATAGTGGCGCAGAAAATAAAATGAATGACTCCAACTTGGAAACTGCAAGATTAAATTTTCTGACAGTTTCTAATCAGCGGTGTTCAACAATTTATCAAATTTTACTAGACGCTATTTAACAATGTCCTTTCAAATGATCTTCAAAGAAAAATAATGTTATTAAATTTTGTATCGTTTTGAAAGTTTCTAATCGATAGGCTTGAAACATAATTTATCAAATAATTTAAATCTTTAAAAAAAAATAGATATTAAATTTATATAATAGATATCGTTTTGAAAGTTTCTAATCAATAGGCTTGAAACATAATTTATCAAATAATTTGAATCTTTAAAAAAAATAGATATTAAATTTATATAATAGATGTCGTTTTGAAAGTTTCTAATCAATAGGCTTGAAACATAATTAATCAAATAATTTGAATCTTTAAAAAAAATAGATATTAAATTTATATAATAGATGTCGTTTTGAAAGTTTCTAATCAATAGGCTTGAAACATAATTAATCAAATAATTTGAATCTTTAAAAAAAATAGATATTAAATTTATATAATAGATGTCGTTTTGAAAGTTTCTAATCAATAGGCTTGAAACATAATTAATCAAATAATTTAAATCTTTAAAAAAAATAGATATTAAATTTTATATATAATTTATTAAACATAGTATAGGTATAGTATATATATATATATAATATATAGTCTAGTATATATATATATATAATTAATACTATTAATATCTTCTTTTGAATTATGTAAAAAAAAAAAAAAAAATAGATAATTGCTTAGATTATTTGATGATATTTAAATATGTCGTAGAACTCAATATTTTGAATAACTTGCTTCCGTAGATGTAAATGCACTGTTAATTTTTGCAAAAATTGTGGATAGCAATACAGTAAATTCTCCTCTAGCATAGGTACACGCGGTGCATCTGTGACACAAGCGCATGTTCCTCGCTCGGCAGCCATCCGCTTCTTTATCTTTGTATTACACTTTACGAATCTAAATATATGTACAGCTTTGAAAGCCCCGTACACACCTGCATGTGCCAGTCTCAACCGGCCGGTTTTCGCCTACTAGGAATTTGTCTATACCGAACTATACTTCTCTTCTAGAGAGCCTTCATTTTCTCGAACAGAACAAAAATTGTTCGAAACAACTCAAGTTCTATGATGTATATAAAAAAAAAAAAAAAAAAAAAAAAATCAAAAAAAAAAAAAAAAAAAAAGTACAAATTACGTAGGGCTGTGCAGAATTAATTTTAAATTGCAGCATCCGTTTTCAAGTTTTCTGAAATCGAAGATACGCACGATCGAGTAGTGTAACGTGTGACACACTCGTTTTGTCAGGTAAAAAGCGTCGTTCGACGGCCACGAACGTTTCCGTTGTTCGTCGATCACCGGGAGGCAAGAAGCTCGCGCCCGAGTTGCGTGAGAACAAGCGTCCTGTGAATGACGAGACGTGGTGGAAAAGAAATTTCATGGCTCCCTGGAGTCTACCACCGATTGGCATCGCTCGAGAAAAAAAAGAAAGAAAGAAAAGAAGCTTGCTCCTTTTCACCTCGTCTCCTGAGCTAAGTTCGCCACTTTCAGCCACGCTTGAATCCACGTAAGACCGGGCTAATGCCGGAAACGGGGCGCCTTCGCGTTTCGCACTTCGTATCTAGCTGATCAGACCGAATCGTATCGTGGAAATCAGCTGAAAGTGGATTAACCGCTTCCTACCGTCGGCCATTCCACCCTCCCCCCTCCACCAATGGCCTTTGCGATTAAGGAAAATTGCTTTGCTGAAGTGCTTTGATTGCGACCTTTTTCTAGTTCTTTCTTTTTTTCTTTCGTTAATTCGAGGGTTTAGTGGGATGGAAGTCTTGAGAAATTAATTTTCCGTGGGATAAATCTTGGAAAATTTCGACGACTCTTTGACAAAATAACTCGGAGTGATTTCCGAATTTACTATTTATTTCAATGTTACTTGGTTGAATTAGAATTAAATTCTCCTCACGTGTTTATGACGCTCTCGTTAAATAATAATTGCTATACTCGTTTCATCCAATTGTATTTGCACAAATTGTTTGGGACACGAATTTATACCATCTTTTACACAATAGAAACTCAAATTAGTAGATTCATTGGTCAGTGTTGTGGTTATACGTTAATAAACGAAGTTCAAATACAGTGGCTCACGGAATATTAGAACTATAGACCCATATATAAATATACACACGTATGTATTATATAAGACATCTCGAAATTTTCGTAAATTTGGGAACCGATCGAAAAATATATATAAAGGATACGATATTCGTTTAATAAGAAATTCATACAATATGATAACAAATATCAAGAATCGGTCCTACTGAATGTCCAGCTTCAATACATTAACTCGAAGTATACCAAAACTTTCTCCATACATTCTCCATACATTCATTTCAAACTTGACCAATAAAATAATGACAGTATTTCGATACATGCTATATGTTTAATCTATAAAAAGTTTCCCCTAACACTTTCGCGAGCCCGACGGTGGATAAAATTCTGTCGCGCGTCAAGCCCTTTGGGATTTGCGTCCCGAATGATGAGAAAAATTAGGAAGGAACCGGCGACAAGAACGCCGTACGCGTCATTCGATGGTGTAGTTTTTACAGGAAGACCAGCGGTAAGCCTTCTGCCCCAGATAGTCCCATCAACGAGCTGAAGAACGCGCGGCTTCGTCCAGTTCCAAGCTGCTTTTCACCTCGTCTCACGTGACGCGAGAGAAGCGGCGTGGGTGCCCCCCCCCTCCCCTCCCCCTCCTCCACCTCCTCCACGGTCCACGTCCACGGCACGCCGCCCGTAATTATAGGTTCCTTATTTACCGCCTGTTACACACTTCGTTAGCACATCACTTATAAACTGGTCGTGCATCACTTAGTAAGATCGCCCGACGTTGCTCTTTCTCGCTTTTGCCGGTGTAGAGAGCGCGCGGATTGCCCAATAATTGAAACGACGTCGAGAATTATGTTTAAGGAGGGGGGGGGGGGAGAAATTTTAGGGGTTGAGAGAAAGTTGAGAACTGGGACGTGTCCCTCATTGGACTCGATGATTGTTAATTGACGATAAATTTTTTTTTTTAATTGGACGATTTAAAGGCAAAGTTGAGGGGGTGAGTTTGGAAGAGCTTGCGTTCGATGAAATTTTGGAAAATTCACGCAAAGTCATCAGATGGATATAGTGCGTAGGTATTGGAAGATTTGGAAAGAATTGAGTTGTGTATTTAATAGAATTTTGAAAGATGTTACACAAGTTACCGAAAAATAATTCGCAGAAATTAAACAACAAATGTTTTGGATAGTAGACTTGTGAAAGAGCGAGTTGATGGAATGAATACTATTCTATGTATTAAAGTATTTATTTATATAAATGACATGCACGAAACTTGAAAAAGTATCTCAATTTGAACATTAATAATAACAAATAAATACTGAAATATTAACTCCTGTATTTTATACTAGCAATCACAGCGTCAAAATGCTACTGAATTTTTTTAGAAAAGTCGACATACTCATGACTAATCATATTAAGCATGAAACCGTAGAAAGTTTCTGAAAACAGACAATGCGCGTATTACGTATTTTAGATCGTATCGAACAAGTTTCATTTAATCAAAACTCTTTCCGAGTTCCACCCGACATTTCATTTACACCCAATTTCCGTGCAAACGTTCTAATATCTAATGCTCGATTTAATATTCGTTCCAGTGTTGCGTGATCATTCGCTAATCCCAACCCTAGCAATTACCTAGCTCTGCCTTTCTTCTCCCAATTGATTCTAACGTTTCCACGCCTTTTATACACCTTTTTCTCTCTCTCTCTCTCTCTCTCTCTCTTTCTCCTTCATCCATTCGAAGCTAACCTCTGATTGTTCCACGAATCTAATCGCGAACAAGCGGAGAGTGTGCATGGTTGACCGAGCCCGATCACGGAGAACGTTCGAGCTTCCTGGTTATCGAAGGCACGACTCGATCGCCACGGAATGCGATCGAATGACGTTTTTAGAAAGCTGATTTGAATAGAATGGAATGTCTCCGGTGTCCCGAAGGGGGATTCGATTACTTCTCGCTGCTCTGCGAAACGATTCGTGCGTCGAAAGTGTAGTCCGCAAATTATTTCATTTTTGCAGTGAAATCTGATCTTTAATTCTCTTTTCTTTTTCAATGCAATTGGACCGTTCAATCATAATTACAACAGTTTGGAATTGGATTGTTTCGTTCCTTTAATTCTGTCACCGCGAGTGTTCTAAAATTAAGTATTAAATAGGATTTTCAGTAATTCTTTCCTTTCGATGAGGAAGCCAGAAATCATTGATTTGCAACCATCTTACTCCAAAGAAATACAGAAATATTTCGTCTTCTAGAAATATTTGAAATTATTTTCGGTTGTATGTAATTGTTCTCGTTGCACAGAGTCTATTGATCAAAAAGAAAGAAAAAGTCAAGAATTTCAACATTTTCTACCAAACCGAAATTATCCAACCAGTATGTTTCGTCAGAAGTGATTCAAAGTGAAAATGACGGCGAAATGATGGAAGAAGGCGGGGAGAAAGAGCGTGGAGATGGACAGGATGGAAGGAAGAACGGAATGTTCGCCAGAGGCGTTAAGCAGGTCGGTGATGGTTTGGCCGAGACCTTCGTGAAGGCTCGCTGGCGAGCAGGCACGTCACGGTTCGGTAATAATCACGGCGGTGGCTGTATCGC